TATTAACTAATATTTCTTTCAATTCACTTTATCAGCCTAATTAAGTATCCACTGTTAATTGAGTAAATCACAATTACTTATAAACTAATAATAATGCGTAAATCATTCTATACTCACAATAAAGCAATAAAAAATTACATGTTTTCCGTAACGAAAAATACAAACCTGAATGTTGAAACTTTTAGTTTTAAATTGACTTCATAAGCAACTTCTCAATTTGAAGGAAATGAGAGCTTTCTCGGATTCAGCCAAAGTCCTCCGGAGTGAAACTCAAATTCGGAGATCAACAGAACGAAATAAGGTAGGTTTGGGAAGAAATTCTGTTATTTTGTTATGTGTATTTTAAATTTCTCGCGTACCAAACGCGAATTCTTTCAAATCTTATCAGCAAAATACACGTGGAGCCAAATGAGTGGTTGAGGAGATTTCCTGGATATTTTCGCGTTTTCAAAACGCTAAAACTAACTTTCGCGTTTTCAAAACGCTAAGACTATTTTTTTCGCGTTTTCAAAATGCTAAAATGACACAATATTTGGTTTATTTTCAAAACGCTAAATTGTATAAAATTAATTTAAAATTTTATTTTAAATATATATCTTTTCGCTTTTTTAAAACGCTAAAGTATTTTCGCGTTTTTGAAACGCGAAAAAGAAAATTCACGTTTTCAAAACGCTATTTTTTGTTTACCTTTTTTATTTCCTTTTTTTTCTTTCTTTTTTCCCGGATCAATTTGTGCAAATAATAATTTAATTTTTTCTAATTCTATTAACAGATTTCGCGTTTCGCAAACGCGAATTTTTAATTTAATTTTTTGTTTTCGCGTTTTCAAAGGGCGAGAAGTATATAAATGTCCAGTTTTAAAACCCTAGAATTATTTTCTCCTACAACTTTGGATTTGAGACACCCTAAAAATCACGCACCCGGGGCAGAGTAGACAAGTAACTCCATATTTTTCCCAATCTATCACACCCACCTAAATGATGGGGAATGAAAAATTTGGATTCAATCCAAATTTCGTGGCCCAACTCCATTCCCAATTCACCAACCAAGCAAGAAAAAATCAAGAAAAATGGAATGAAAGTCCCAAATTAGATATGATACCCCTCAACCAAGCACCTCCTTACTTTTGTTTTCTAAAAATACAGAAAAATCAGTTTTCAGTCAGCCTGTTCAGAGGGTTGTTTCTCCCAGGCCTTGATCTCTTTTCTGAATTTTCTTTATATAGAACTCTTCTTCATTTAGTGTAGGTTAATGTGGTTTTTACGGATCATAAAACGAGCTCCTGGTTTGTCCAAAATTCGAGTTTGAACATGGCAGTATCGTTGCTGAAAAATGCAGAAAATTCAGAATAGATTTCTTCTGCTATCATGTGTTTTTCTCCTAGGTCTTGACTCTTTTTCGAATTTTCTTTTTATGGAATTGTTTTCGTTCAGTATACTTTGATGTGGTTTTTACGGATTTTAAAACGGACTTTTAATTTGTCCCGAAATCAGATTTGAACATGACATTATCATTCCTGAAAGTTGCAGAAAAATCAGTTTGAGTCCCTCTGTTTGCATGCTTGTTTCTCTCAGGTCTTAAGCTTTTTTCATAATTTCTTTTTAGAAAACTCTTCTACATTTAGTGAAATTTAACGCAGGTTTTATGGATTGTCAAATGGACTTACGGTTTGTCTAGAAAATAAGTTTGAACTTGAGTTGTCAACTCTGAAATTTTCTGTCTGGAAACATCTGATTTAAGCTACTGTTTTGGGAGGCTCGTTTGACTTAAATTCTGAACCTTTTCCTCTGATTTCTTTTGGCAAAACTCCTCTCCCTTTATTGAGGTTCAATGTTGTTTTGATAGGTTGCAGAAATAATAAATGAGTTGTGCAAAAATATACTTTAAAAATGATCACTTAATCACCTTAGTTCTGAAAATTCAGAATTGGAATTTGAAAGGCTAACTTTAAAACGCGATTTCTCCTTCAATCTAAAACTCTTTGCTAATGAAACTTCTTTGCTTATTCCTCTGTTCTTTAAGGTATACAAAGTAAGTGTATGACCTGCAAAAATGATCCATCTTGAAACGGCATTTTGAAACTTGGGAATATAAGAGCATTTCCAAAAGGGAGTACTCCTCCTGGACTTGCATGTGATTGTCTCCCTTTATTGTGCTTATAAATGTGGAAGAGTCTGTATGCTTTAATGAAGCCTCACATATTTTTAGTATTGTTGGTATCATGATTGATCAAATGAACGAATGCAAGTTACTTTATGATTCCTAGTGTACTTTATCACTACGGGATAAATGTTATGTGCTTAATGATTGAAAGATTTGTGACATAATTGTATCGATGTGCTTGAGTGGTAATGTGATTATTTGATGTCAATGAGCAACAGTAACAATGTGAATGTATGGGACAATGTGTTTGTCTGAGAAGGTGTTTGTCTGAGAAGGTGTTATTGATTGTACCAATGTGTTAGAGTGAAATGTGATAATATGGTTAATGTCAAGGGATGTACTTTACCACCCCTGATCAAATGTACTGGTGATTGGTTGCATGATAATATTTTGTGCATGTTGCTCGAGTTAACTAACGTTACTCAAAACCTGGGCCCATTGCCTTGGTTTGTGTGAAGCCATGCGTGTCGGCGTTGGGCTTGGACGTTATGGTTAGTTGCCTCGGCCAGTGTTGGTACTCATGAGTATCTAGGGGTGGCGCTATTGGTTGGCCACAAATGTAATGTAATAATGAAATGAAATGAAATGGTAATGTTAGAGACAGCAATGTCGATGATGGTAAATTGTTGATCTCTGGTTTGGGATTCTCGCTTTAAACGCCACATAGGCGTATAGCGGCCCCTCACTATGTGCCTGTATATGGTCGGGTACTTTAAACTTATATGGCCGAGTACTTTAAACTTATGTGACCTAAATATTTAATTAAATGTTTATGGAATTGTAAATTAAGCAAAATTATTAATTGAATGCTACCTTTTAAAATGTTAGTGTGCAAATGATTGTGCATGGATTGCATGTATTTAGATCGATAGATTAGGTTAGAGAGGACTTCACTAAGCATTAGTTCATCCCATATATATGTTACCTTCCCGTCTCAGGTTAACCGGCGAGCTTGATAACGAGTTGGAACGTGAAGATAGAGAGGGAATTTGCTAGCTGATGTATAGATTTTACAAAGAATGTAGTTATTCTGTAAAATTAATAGTTAATATAATATATTCTGTAATTTAATTATGTCCCACTGACTTCTTGAGCAAGAGATCGCTCGGCGGGTGGCTCTTGAGTTTTAAGCTCGTTTTAATTTGAGCTTGAATTTCGGGGTCGTCGCAGAGAGGACTATACAGTAGAAATGCTAAATTTTTGAATGAGAATGCTTTACTCATACACGTATGAAATATTGCCTGCACGGAAGACTATTATGGATAAAGTGGATTCGTGCAGTATATATGAAAAAAAAAGAAAAAAGAAAATTCTGGGATATACTATCTCAGCGGGACACTAGTTAGCACTGGAAACAGATTTTAAAATTGAAAGAATAGGTGAAGGATGGCTTTGTGTGAACAAAATGGAAAAATGCACCCTCATATAAGTACACTATAACCTTTGGGTATAAATGATTAGTAGAGGAGAGTGAAAGATGTATAACAACTCAATTCATATAGTATAAATACAATGTCCCTAGGCTTGCTTTATAGTTTGGCTATTTTGGAGGAATTTGCTGCTCACAAAAGACATATTAGCCAAGCTTGCATATTCTGTCAATAAACTTATGAGCATCTCTTTTTCTTTTCTTCTTTTTTTATTGTCAATTCTCTCATGAGCATATGTTGTGACCAGCTGGTTAGACATAAATACACTTCTTCTATGCAGGTAGGAATATTGGAGGGCACACATTCTGGTCATCTGGAAGAAGGCAAGAATGAGGAGACATATTTTATTTGCTGTAATGTTAGCAGTTGTTTATCATCTCTAGTAGGAGAGAAACATGAAAATTCATACAGATAAAATTGGGGAGCTTATGAATAACAGTAACAGGGAAAAATAATGGAGATTAGAACATTGTGTTGGATCTAGAAGAATTGAAAGCGAGAGTAACTTATTGAAGAAATGGTTTGATATGTGAAAAAGTACAGTGATACGACAACAGATGGAAATTCATATAATAGAGCTAATTTAGTTGTAAATATGCACTCTCCAGGTAAAAGTTATCAATATATTTACATTTTATCAAAAAGAAAAAATTGGTTATTAAAATGGGACAAATATATTATGATCTTGAATTCAATTGTTGATACAACTACATTTAAGGACGGCCAGACTTGAACCAGAGCAATCTTAACTGGGGGGCAACATTTAAATATTTATTAATAAATTGATACACCTAAAATAATGATGTTGACATTATTATACATAATAATATATAATATACACCTTTTACACGCACTTGAACGCGTCCAACTTGACGGACTGAAATGAAGAAAATTAATTGGAGTTTTCACCCATCATTTTGTAAGTAATATCAAATGTTTCCTCTTTAACTTTTGTGTGCTTTTAATTTTAAACCTTTGAAATCATCGTAGGTTTTAATTTTTAACCTACGATGCAATTCGTAAATGAGTTAACTAGGAACATACTTTACTATTTTTATTTGGATTTTAAGATGCATAATGGAGTACCAAAAAAAAAAAAAAACCAAACGAAAAGATGCATGATGGAATTTTGATAAGATTTTCCTTTATATTAAAATAAATAAACACTTGACCCAAATTCTATTTTTGTAGTGAATCAAAAGATTCAAGTTCAAAATGGAAAAGTTTTACAAGAATAGTTTTTAATTTTTTGAAAAAAAAAAAAAGGTTTCAAATATGAAGAAGGAAATAGGAATAAAACATAAAAAAATAAAAAAGCAACTTCCTTAGGATTGAAGCTAGGAATTGAAAGAAAGAGATATATTAGGAAACAAATTGTAAATCAACTAAAATTTGGGAGGTATGTTGTAAAAAGACGACCGACCGACTTTTCTCCAAAAGCTTGAACCGGAGAAGAGGAAGTGGTGACTTCCATTATTCACATATTCCCCTGAATCCTCTCCAATTGTCATCACACAAATTTGCGCTGATTTCTCATCATCCCTTTAATCCACCGACACAAAAAAATACACACACTGCAGACACACACAACATTAAGATTTTCCGTTCAGAGATCAATAGAAGAAAAAAGGGTTCTTTTTAGGGTGTGATCATATTCCGTTTTTGGGAAGATCAAGTTTCTGGAGGATACCCGACAAGGTTAAGTTGAAAAAAAAATGGATGAATTTGGAGTTTTGGTGGAGAGTACTGGGTTCAAATCGCAGAAGCTAACTCCGATGGCCCGTTTAAAACCTAAACCGGCGAGCAACTTCAGTTTCAGTAATGGGTTCAATCAATCCTCACCGCCTCCATCAAATTCAAATGTGTGGAATGAATCCTTTGTGGAGGACCTCGATGGGATTTTTAAGCCCAACAACAATATTAGCAATTCTCAGAAATCCCAGCAATATTACGATGATGGGGTTGATATTTTTGGAGGCAGCTCGAAGACGCAACCATCAGGATCACAAGGGAATATAGATTTGGACTCGGTGTTTGGCTTCAATAATGATTCTAGGACCAATTCGGGTTCAAAATTCTATAATGAAACGTCGCCCCCGACAGGAAGTGTTGGTGGTGATGATTTGTTGGGCGGTTTTGATTTTGGTAACAGGGCTACGAAAAAGGATGAACAGAACAATGTGTCCAATTCGGATGATTTGATCCCTGGATTTGGTGGAAGTAACACCTCACCTAATGTTTCTAAGAACAACGGGTATGCATTAGACACATGTTATTTAGTCCTATTATTATCAAATTTATATCTTTTGCTGAGATATGTATTCTTGGAATTTGCTGCATGGTGATAATATATTTATAGGACAATTACTATTGTTTCTGCATGAAGTTTTAAACGGAAATGAAACTGATGTGTTGTTTTGATGGATATTTATGAGCTCTAGGAATTTCTATTTCTAATTGTGAGTGAATTTTAAGTCTTTAATGATGAGTGAAGAGACAAGTGAAAATGCGGAAAGAAAAGCTACTGATTGTGTTTAAGAGGCGTTAATTTATGCTCCAATGGTGTTAGTAGAGATGATGCATTCTCGATACACTCCCTCTATATATTGTGGCATGCTATTAACATTCAAATACAGTTCGCTGGGTTAATAATCTCCTTTTCGGAAGGACTGATAGGTCAGTGAGAAAGAGTCTTCGGAAGTTGCTCGCTATCGAGTCGTAATTTAAACTATGTTGTTTTTACTGATCAGGCAATTTGAATATGATATTTTACTGATTTTCTCATTTTGGGGAACCTGTCATGGGTTTATCGGTTGCAGTAACTGTGAAGGCTGAAATAAAATTCTTGATTATGACATTTACCTTTAGCTGGTCATTTTGAATATGTTCAACCCACCGGTTTAGTATCCTAGCCAAGAGTGGATGATGTTATAGTTCTGTTTTGTCACAGAATTCAACCGGGGACAGGTGCATTTAATTCAACCTTTTCCATGGCGGATGATCCCTTTTCACTCTTTGGAAATTCTAATACTTCAGGAAATGATCTGTCAAAGACATTTCCAGGTCCATCAGAAAAAGATACTGGAAGAGCACCGGTTGATTTTTCCATGGATGAACTGGAAAACCTTGCAATGCGTAAGGGTTCTGGTGGCACAACTGATAAGCCAAGGGTAATAACGGAAGTTAAGAAGAATTCAGGGCCAAAGAAGCAGATGTCTGATATTGACCTTCTTAGTTTTGTAGGTAATTATTTTTTTGAGGCCCAACTAACATTTTGGAGCACATTATATATATATATATATATATATATATATATATATATATATATATTTTGGAGCCTGCTGTTATCTTGCTGAAGAACTTTAAAAAGTTTCTAGTATTTTTAAAATTACAAATGCCACTTTATGGTTGTGCAGATTATCCTCCGTACTTTCCAGATACCGAAGAAAGTGATGAAAGAAGAACAGCTCGAGTGAAAAATCAAATCAATATAAAGCAGAAAATGGTTTGTTATCTCTAATGTTCAAATTTCTACCAAGTTTTGTTCTATACATATGTTCTCCACTGGTACCTTCCACTAGTGTTGCCTTGCCTGATGGCTGTCAAGAGGCTTATTGTTCCCAAAAAACAGCCTCCTAGTTGGAAGGAAAGCCCCAATCCCTTGTAAAAGCATAATAGTGCCAGTGTTGGTGACGCAGGAAGGTTTCTGAAGTATAGAAATCTTCATCTTATGTTTTAGGAAATAGCTAGAATCTTAGATTTGGTTTTCAATCATTAGTTTTAGGAAGTTAGTAAGCATTAGAATAATCAGAACCCCTCTTTCAAATGGAAAGGTCTGAATCTTTGTTTTTACGTTTGATTAATATAATTTTAAGTTCTTAAGCTTTCAAAGACTTTCTTTTAAATTACAAGAGCTAGGGGTTGTCCCTCTCGTTCCTTTAGTTTGATTCCATCGCTTGTCCCATGAAAATGGTATCAGACTATGGGTTGTTGGTGAGCAAATGTAGTTCTAATGGAAAAAATCGATGTTAGTGTATTGTAGGAGCAAAAAGAAGCATTTTGCTCTGGGGTTGTAAAACGCTAACAGTATTGTGAAACAGTAAATCCAAGTCTGTTCTTCTAGTATGTGAACGTAATTGGTTTTTATCTTCTTATGTTCAGGAAGATGCATTGATTGAAAAGAAAAAACGTGATGCTCAGGTTCAGAAAGAGCAGGAGGAGAGGCGCGTAAGTTCTTGTTATGCAACTCTGTTCATTGTTATGTGATGAATCTGAACTGCATGTGTTGAATTTTTGTGTTATATCCCATGACAAATTTAGTTTCTCTTTCACACTCCTGTTTCTGTTTTCTTTTGTGTGTTTGTATGTGTCTCTTTGTGTCTTTGTTATACTGTCTTCCAGTGTGGAGTCGATTATTTGGTTCTTCCACTCTGTTTGGGGGCTTGGGTGGCGTAAAATCGTGATTTCTACTAGCAAGTGTTATGAATTTGACTCCTTTCATCCTTGGTCTATTAGTTACGAAGAAAATCCTTATCTTTGCACTAGTAATGTGAGTTATTTTACCTCAGATGTTTGCTGAAACTGTGGATTATCGTATCAAGCGCTGGTCAGCAGGAAAAGAAGGCAATTTACTTGCTCTTCTGTCATCATTACAAGATGTATGTATTCTGCATCTCTAATTCGTGACCTTTTGTAGACATGTAACTGTAGGAGAAGATGAGGGTTTGATGCGGGCGGAAGCATGAAAAGAAGGAACACCGCTTTGATTCATGATGTTCGCTACAGTTATGAAACACGATAGAGTTATGAAATACGTACATCGTAGAGTCCTTCCAATAATTTTGTTTATGAATGGAGTTCATTAATGAGCAAAAACAAAAATAAAACTGAACATATTCTAATGACTGCAAGCTGACCGCAAAACAGAAAAATGGCAGAAAAAAATGCAAAATTGGGATTTTGCTCAAAGTTCCATTACGTTAAGATTGAGGAGAAAATATCAAACTTTCAAAGCAATGGATATTCACCCTTTTTAGTTCATTCATTGTGTGCCACAACAGTTTTGCTTCCTGCATATGTCTCTAATAGGGGTTCCTTTACAGGTGTTATGGCCCGAATGCGGATGGAAGCCTGTTTCCTTAACAGATTTAATTGCTCCTGCAGCTGTGAGAAAGGTTTATAAGTTAGCCAATTTGTATGTTCATCCGGACAAGGTTCAACAGAAGGGATTTAATTTGGAGCAGAAATATATTGCAGAGAAGGTTTTTGATCTTCTTAAGGTACGATCGTGGTGATTACTTGCTATTTCTGTTGAAACTAGCAAACATCTTGTTCAGAATTTGCAGTGTTTTGATGTTGAAATAGTTTTTATCCCATCTGTCGCTTTTTTATCATGGTGTCACCTTACACTCTGCATCTGCTACCTACATGCAAATTATATTTGGCTCCTGTTTAAATCAAGACCTTCATACCTGACTGCTCAAGTGTCCCTGTAACATTGTTTATTGCATGGGTGTCTTTGAAAGAAGAGAAATATATGGTCAAAATATAAAGGGTCTATGCCTCTTTTCCTATTGTGTAGTTTTTCTTTGCTCTTTCCGGTCTTGTGAATACTCATAGTCAGAGGAAGTAGTTCATGGGCATGAGGGCCTTAGTTCAACTTCCAGGAATTTCATTTTGTACTTGATCCAGTAATCAGATATGTTTTTAGCAAGTGTTGGTAATTTGGATAATCTATTAGATCGTCTTAGAACATGACCTCATAGTCAGAGGAATTAGTTCTTGGGTATGAACGCCTAAGTTCAATTCCCAGGAATGTAACATTTGTACTGGATTATTGTTTTCTTCATGTGTTAGGCATAGCCTCTTCTCAGATGGTTTTCAGAGGTGCATGAGGCCCCATAATCAGATATATTTTAGCCACGTGTTGGTGATTTTGATAATTTATTCAATAGTTTTAGATCAAGATCTCATGAAAATCATGTATGTGTCATCTCTTCCTTTACCAAAGGGGGTATATGTGCTGAAGTGAAAGTTAGTTTCTATGCATGTTAAGATTCTCTCAAGTGGACGTGTTCATTTTTCTGGTTGTTTGCAATGTTCTTGTCGACAATAGGGTGGGTTTGCTTTCTTGCCCCTGTATCTGGATGGTTTACTCAATCCACAGATCATTAACATCTGCATTTTAAATATATGTTTTAATAATTTATTTTGGTAAATGTGGCCATATTATGATAGCATGAGACATTCGTGTTGTTTCTAGAACTACTAAATAATTTCTCTATGATTGTTATTGAACTTGATTCAAGATAATCTTCTTTCTTCTTTGTTATCTTTTAGACTCAGTAATGTCACACTAAATTTTGTTACTGATGTTACTGTCACTCAACAGGAGGCATATAACAAGCACAATACTCAGGGACCTCAATCAAGCTTCAACATGCCCTTCTAAATCTCTTCAATTTGAAAAAAAGCTCATATTGCTTGGCGGATGAGGTGGCGACAAATGCAAAAACCACAGTTGCATCGATCGGAATGTACGATGTAAGCTGGATTTGGATGCAGGAGATGGTGGGTCGTAGATGTGCATGCATACTCAGCTGAATCCAAGTCCAGAAGGCCTTCTTGTGGTATGGATAATTTGCTTGTTCTGTGCTGTGGACGAAATAGACTCCCTCCATTTAGACTTAGCCTCCTAAATTCGGTTGTTTCCTGTTCGTATTACGCCCTTATTCTTTTGTTGATAAGGTTATTGATGGTGTTTGCTTCCATAAATTTAATGGAGACTTTTATTAATTTTTTTTAAAAAATATATAAAAAGTTGTATTAAAATTGTAAAGAGATAATAGAGGTCTGATCATTTTCTCATTTGCATCATTGTGTTTGATTATCATTAAAAAATTAAAAATGAACATTTTCTCTCTTCCAAAATTATTGTCCAGTATAAATTTTTTTTTTTTTTACTAAGTGATAATATTATATAAGAAAAATAATCATACTTACATCCAGAAAATTACAACTACCAAAAGCGGATATCAGATTGAGACAGATACAACAACAAATCTGATTATAAAAGAGAAGATCAAATCGATTTTTTTTTTTTTACAAGGACATTGCATATCAAACTTATAACTATCACTGATCAGAAACTTGTACACGGTCTATGATTTTCAAGGACTACCTGTTTCAGATCTGTACCAATCGATAATAATATATAAGAAAAACTTGTACAAATTGTATTATGGACAATCATTTTTGGATAAATAAATTTATCATTACTTTTTAGAAAAAGACATTTTATAACATTGACATTATAATTTCGATTCTTTTTGTCCTTCAGCATTTTCCGTCAAAACACAAGTAAATAAAAAAATCATTAACAATTAAAAAGATAATATAAAAGTTGTTTTCCCTTTCTCAAGCCTTACCCTCCTATTGGGAGTTAAGATTTTGTATTATTTGAAAAATGTCACCCTTTATTGAAGTTAAAAGAAAAAAAAAAAGGCTTTTCTTGTCTCAATGGAAAACTAAAATCATAACGGATGAATGTAAAATGAAAAAAATGGGCACTTTACGGTTTTTGAAAATTCAATGGTTGGAATATCTAATTGGTTATTTACTAAGGTTATTTAATTAATTTTTATAAATACTGATCCAAGTTTAGGATGTGTAACGGAATGCGATAAAGATAAATTTGATAATAAACTGGTGGAGCAATACTTTCAGATTTACATTATTTTTATTTATCCTTATCTATAAGTTAATATAAAAGTCACGCTTTGCCAATTAGTTTCTTGCAATCTGATTGGCCAGACGGTTATTACGTGACGTCAGCCTTGCATCACGATTACATCATATTTTTAATTGGGGGTGATAATGCCATTAATTAATTAGACATTAGATTAAAAATAAATTTTCTCTTAAACCCTCTTAAAAACGACGACGTTTTCTCCCTTCCTCAAAACGACGTCGTTTTTATTTGTCGGGGAAAAAATCCAAAATCGTTTCCTCTTCCGACTTCCGAGCTATCCTATGAAACATCTCCCCCCAAATCACAACTACCCAAAACCCAAATCGTCTCCTTCCTCCACCCTATACATCCACTCTGCCTCTCTTCCCCCGATGTTGCTCCTCCTCCTCCACCTCTCCTGCACCATCGCAAATTGCCGCCGTCCATTCGGTAGATTCGCCGTCGGTTTCCGTGTTTACATCCCTTTTTACTAATTCTCAATAATTTTGCCGTCACAACTCCGCCGCAATTCCCCCTCCGTCACAACGACCGAAATCTGAAGATGTTCCGGCTGACATCAATGTTGCAAGCTGCCACTGTCCAGTTCCTGAACAAGAGAAAGAAACATCCGATTTTTTCTTACGGTAATTTCCTTTTTTCCCCTCCCCAATTTCCAAATCCGCCTCTGAAACCAAATTCTTTCTCCACGTGGTGAGCAAATCTCCTCCTGCTCCTATCGAATTCCTTATCAGGTTTGGTGCTCTGACTACTCTGATACCCATGGTTGTAAATACTTCTGTTTCGTGAGTCGGACGCCGCTTTAAGAGCCAAATTTTTGAAGTTAAATCAGAATTTGCAAAAGTCAAATTAGAGTTGGGAGCAAAGATCGATAAGCAGACGGAAACTGAATCCTTTCGCAAAGGATAAATCATGGATCACTGAACCGGAAAAGCTGTGGCTAGGTTGGAAGGTGCAGATTTGTCGGTTCTCCTCGCCTTCGATTGAGGAAAGACAAGGTAATATCTCCCTCAAGCTGATGAATTCTTGAAATTTGATGAAGAATTTGGTGAAGATGTTACGTTAGCGATAAAATTGTTATTGAAATATAGTGAAAATTCCTTAACCTAAGAAAAGAGGTCGCATTGGCTGCGAATTTAATTCTTAAATTTTAATATGCTGCTATTTGTTTTTCTTTATTTTATTATTTTTCTTTGATTATGCAATTTTTTACTTTTTTGTTGAGATTTCTGGCCTTATACTTACAAGATTAGGTGATAATAAGTGACTTATCATCGTGGCTCCAACAAATAAGTCACTTATTCCATTCGTGGTTATGAAACATACAATGGGATCAATCCGTTAAAGATGAAGCTCTGTGTTTTCGAGCTTCCTTTATAAGTTTCTCTTTTGATCATCCTAATTTCAATGTTCCTGCTTACCTATTAATATATTTGTGTTTTGTTCCGATTATACCATATGTGGTTCAATGATGTGCATAAGTTGTGGTCGAGAACTTGAATTAAAAAATATGTAACCAGGGTGGTTCAGTAGTTTTACTTGGTGTAGTTAATTTGATTTGCTGGCATGATAGAATAATTGGCCTTTGATTTGGTAATTAGTGCTACCATGTGATTAACGGTCAATATGTCTCTTTTGTGTAGTTCTATTCCTGAAATTATGTGCATCTATGTGCATCTATGTTCATGGAGAACACTTTTAATGTCTCTATTATAAGCGTTCAACTTTTTCTGGCATTTTCTTTTTGTCTTTAGTCTAGAAAAACAGTTATTACTTCTGTTTTTACTACTGTTCGTTGCTTCTGTTTTGATTATTCGTCTCTCTCCTCCATCATGGTTAGACAGCGAGTCAAGGTTTCATTAATTGCTTTTGATCACTGTTCTCGTTTTCCCCTTTATTTGCTGTTGGGCCATTTTTTTGCATCTGACGTTCATTCTTATGCTTTCTGATGTTTCCTTTATCAGAATGAAAGAGATTATAAGGTGTTTAAATGCAAATCACTGGATCAACTTCCTCGGATTCTGTCGGGAGGTATAGTGGTGCTTTTCAATGGCTTTCTTATTTCTTATTTGCTGCTTTTTTCGTCAAAATTGTCCAGGAATTTAAATATAGAGCTAAGTTTATGCCAATCCTTATCCGCTTGCTCTTTTTGAGTTGATAAATCGTGGTAACTTATTGGAGTTCTGTGTTTCCTCTGCCTCGTGAGAGAAAATGGCACATAAATTTCTTTTGACGGCCAAGATGTGGCTCTGGGTCCTTTCTCTTAATTTGTAATTTGCAAACACCATCTGACTACTTGGCCACTTCTATTCTATGAATGTTATTTGTGTGTAATTAGAATTCTGTATAACTTTTAATCATTTTGATTTCAGTTTGAAGACTCTCGTGAGGCTGACGATGCTATTCGGGGCCGTAATGGATATAGCATTGATGGTCATCGACTACATGTGAGTTACCTGCGTTATCAAACATTTGAGCATGGGTTCTTTCTCAATGTTGTTGCAGGAACGCCTCCAGGTCCTTGGATGATAAAAAGATTTGCAGAAGATGATCTTCAGTGATGAGATGGTAAGCTTCTAATGCTCTTTCATATTCTTTAAATTTAACCGCTGCAAAATCTCCATATTTGTTCTTCCCATTGAAGATAACATTTAAAATTAACAAATACTGCAGGGCGGTAGAGTCGAAGGGATTATGTACAACGATGCCATTGATATGCTATTGAAGCAGGAAGGAGCTGAGGCAAATCGGAAGCTTACTGCTAAGAGATCACCTCAGGTTTGTCTTGCACATGAATTCAATTGGTGTATTTTATCAGTATTGAGACATGTACATAGTTCCCAGTGCATTGCTCATTTATGTGTTATACTTCTTGCCAATTTGAAACAATGCACTTATTTGTTCAAACTCTTAGGAAATCAGTTGGATATTGTTGTAATATATGCTCACAGTTAGAAAAACTTAATGTCATTCACATTACATTCTGTCTGCTAATCGTTCCAGATTCCAGAATATTGGGTCCCAAATTCAATGCTTTTCTGGCATAATTAAACCACTGAAATCTGATGAAAATACGCATGTGATGCTCCAAGTGAGAGCTACAACTGTCATGAAGGTCACTTCGCCAAATTCTGATGATAGAGTAGTTGTTATTGTATTTGAATTTCAGTGAGCTGACCTGTCCAGAAAATCTGTAGAACTTCAACGTTGTGGTTTACTTTTGTTTATTTGACTTTAACTCAGTTTGTTGGATTTATGATCTAAGAATTTGTGGGGTGGAAGGGAAAGGGAGCAGTAGGAGTGACTTCACCCGTACTATTGTTCGTTTGGCTTTAAATTTTGTTGCTTAGTAATTTTATTTGTGCACTCTTTACCTTTAGATTTACCTGAATAGAATTGTTGCAAGAAATTGTGCGTTTGGGCCTTTTGAGTTGGACAAATGTGTTGAATGGCATCCTTGGCGTGCATAGGTGTTTGTCAGAGACTTTGTTCCCAGTACATTGATATAGTGAAGAACTTTATTTTGAAGACTTTTCGGCTATTATTGCAGAAATTGCTCCACTAAATTGACGAAGTCTCTCTGGTATGTATCTTACTTCACAGAAGAAAAGAAATTGGATATTTGTCTCCAGGGAAAAAATAAATAAAAAGAAAAGGAAAGAATTTCAGATAATTAGACAACTGCAGATTGGGAGTGTTATCTTACACAAAATCTCTTTAGAGCTCTTCAAGTTTATTCATTATGTTTATTCCAATTTGTTGTATTTGACATATCATCAAATGTTGTATCCAATTACCAAACAACAAAATTTGTTTTCAAAGGTTGTATCCAGTTTGCGAACTAAATGAGCAATGAATTCTCTGGATTAAAACAATCAGCTCGCAAAATTAACATTCAGTAAATTAATAAGTTTGCTTAAACTCCAATTTATTTCCTTAAAGGACTAGAATGGAGAAGATGTTCCAATTTTGTTTTCAGTTTCGCTTTCGGAATCATCGATTTGGTTCGATTTCGGTTTCAATTTATGATGATTTTATATTGATTTTATGGTGAACTATGAATTAAAGTATCAATTAAGAAAATTTTAAGTTATACTTACTTGTTCTCAATGGTACTTTAGGTAGACGTTGAACCGTATCTATATTATACTAAGAGAAAAATTCGAGAGAGGAAATCAAATTTTTTCTCACATTGACACATAGGACAAAATCTTATGTGTCATTTTCTTATTGGTTAACATAAAGAATATTTACAACAATTACACTAACAGTCCTTTGAATTTCTGGTTAAGCAATTGTTATTGATTCGCAATTAAGTATATCAATTAATTATATGGTAAACTTTCTATTTTGTATCCGCTGAAATGAAAAAGGAAATGAAAATTTTTTAAAAAACCAACATTAATGTTTTTTTTTTCATTATGTGTCCTATAAAAAAGGTAAACATTTATTTGATTCAATATTAATACTGATTGATTTGAAAAGATTTTTCGATTGGCTTGAATAATGCCATTATATATTGACTTGATCATTAAATAATATTAATGATTTTTTAAAATTAAAAAATAATTAATACAAAATCATCAATTATTTTTTAATTGCAAATTCTGGGTGTCATTATATAAAAACTCTTCTAAAAAATACTTTGTAAACTTACAAATGAGTTCACAAATGATAAAGTATTAAAAATATATAGTATATTATACTAAGAGAGAAACCAGAGAGAGGAAATCAAATTTTTTCTCACATTGACACATAGGACAAAATCTTATGTGTCATTTTCTTATTGGTTAACATAAAAAATATTTACAACAATTACACTAACAGTCCTTTGAATTTCCGGTTAAGCAATTGTTATTGATTCGCGATTAAAATATATCAATTAATTATGTGGTAAACTTTCTATTTTGTATCTGGTGAAATGAAAAAGGAAACGAAAATTTTTTAAAAAACCAACATTAATGGTTTTTTTTTTCATTATGTGTCATATAAAAAAAGTAAACATTTATTTGATTCAATATTGATACTGATTGATGTGAAAAGATTTTCCGATTGGCTTGAATAATGCCATTATATATTGACTTGATCATTAAATAATATTAATGATTTTTTAAAATTCAAAAATAATTAATACAAAATTATCAGTTATTCTTTAATTGCAAATTCTGGGTGTCATGTTATAAAAATTCTTCAAAAAGAATACTTAGTCAACTTAGAAATGAGTTCACAAATGATAAAGTATTAAAAAATAGGAAAAACTAATGCCGTAAACTAGATTTTCGCATTATTTTAAAAAATTTAAAAATTTTATTGTCATCCGGAAATTACTCCTAATAGATTGAGAAATTATTTCCTTATCATATATCTGGTTGTAATTTATTTTGGAATTCAAAAGTAATTAATATGCTAGAAGTGATTTTTTTTGCTTTAAATTATAAATGAAAATTAATCCCTAAAACTACTCTATTTTCCCAACTACATATTCAAAAATAATAAAGAGGATTGTATATAACGATCATAAATAACTTAATTATAATTGCTCTTTATCCGGTTCCATGAATTAAGTTATTTTATCAAATTTGAATTTGGAATAATTATTACTTATCACACTTAAATTTTAAAAAAAAATCTTATCTAAATCAAACACACTTGAGCACTCATATCCCTATACTACCTATATAAGGCTCAATCGGTTATTGATATTCCACTCGAAATCATGGCTGCCTGTGTGTTCATATGAAGAAGAAAGGTATAATTCTTTTTTGTATTTATTTATATCTTAACATGTTTGAATCATTTTTCTTTTAATTCAATTATGCAGATGTGTGAAAAGATTAGAAAAACAAAAAAGTTAGAGGTGATGATTACAAGGATGAACAAAGGTTTGTCTTTCAATTCCAAAAAATAATTCAAATTGCACTTATGATTTACTTTTATGTTATCTTTTATTTAATTTTAGTCATACAATGCTTATGATTTTCATTTTATTGTTCATATATTCTCTTTCCATTAACTCAATACTTGCATTTCATATCGAATGTAATATTTCATCTTTATATAATCTATCTATATACTATACTAAGGCAAAAACTAGAGAGAGAAATCTAAAGTTAAGGAGCACATGCCACATACGATTTTATCCTATGTGGCATTTTCTTAATTTTCTAGATATAAAAATGCACAAAACAAAATAATAAAAACCAAAAAAAAAAAACGCAACTGAAAAAATCCAAACCCTATATTGCTTCGACCAAATCCCTACAAATCCGATGGACGGATCTCTTCATCCTAAAAAAAAAAATGCAACTGAAAAAGAATTATATATTAATAATTTATTAAAATAATTAAAGAAGTTAGGCCAACCTGAAACTTCTATAATTTAGCTTCAAATATGGAATTGAGTTAAAATACTATGGTGATGGGTTGATGTAGCGGGGCTAAAAAATCTAACTTTAATTCGAAAAAAAAAATGAGCAGGATAGATTTGACATTTGCGAAAGTGTCTAGAAAGATATTAATGAAGAAAAAAAATAGGTAAATGATATTCTTTAAGGGTAAAAAAATAATCCCACCCTCACATTTTAAATAAAATATTTTTGACAACGGGTAAGTTAATTAAAGATAAATTATTAGATAGGTAATGAGAAATAACTAAATCAAACGAACAAATGAGGCTAAAATATAAAAAATGAAGGAAAGTGAGAATGCATAATATTTAAAAAATAAAATAATAAAATAAAAACACTGAAATCAAAAGTCACACCGAAACAAGGAATAAGGTCCTGATATCCAATTTTTTTAATTTTTCTTATTAAAAAATTGGATGACCTCTACAACAAGTTAGGGTTGTTGTTTCTGTAGTAACCATTCCTTATCATAAACCTTTAAAAAAAAAATAAAAAATTTCTTATCATAATTTCTTAATCACCCTAGCCGGCCTTTCCACCCCAGACTACCAATGTAGTCTACCAAGAAATATTGCAAGATATATAATTATTTAATTCAAAGTTCATTTTTTTTTAATTTCTTAACAATATTTTTTGCGTTAAATAAATTACCAGTGTATTCGTTTGGTAAAGTGTTATCGATGTTTTTGTTTTATATTTTTTAATAAATTCATTATATATTTTATAAAAATACAAAAATCTATACAAATATTAACATTTTTTTGATTTGTTTGTGTAGTAATGTCTATGTATATGTGCTCCCCGTCCATCGGACGGGTCTAACTGGCTGCCTGTTCCAAAGTATGTCTTTCAATTTCTACTTTGAGTTTATGGTCATTCTGGCATTGGAACTACCCTTTTTCTTCTACCTATGAACAGTTTTGAACTTGTGGATGTTGAAGTATTTTTCCCAGGAAATGAAGTGTCAGTTTCTTTTCCTTTAAGGAAGATATTAATGACTTTTGAGGAAAAGAAGAAAGATGCTAGCTCAATGAAAATAGTGCTAAACCATCTGAAGTCTGAATGCTTCTGTTAACCAACTTGACATGTAGGATCCATCTTCATTGAGTGTTTGTGTAGATTTTTCAATTTAAATCTTTCGCAGCATAAGTATTCTGCTTGTAATTAATGTTGGCAATTACCTCGTTTGCTTGGTTAGTTTCATTTGTGGTCTCCTCAAACTTGAGCTTATATTACAAATCCTTACTATTTGGGTTAAGGACACATGTCTGGATAAATAGTTCTTGGGAAGATCTTGATTACTTTTACATTAGTTACATAATACAGGGGATGATGCTGTTGAATCCCTTGGTTTCCTTAAAGTGCTGTTCTGTAAAGCTTTTCCCTTCACACCATTCAACTATAGACATCTTTCTTTATGCATTGCTGCAATCCATTAATTTCCATGCCGCCTTTTGTCTTTCCCTTGGTTTTCCTTGAAGCAAATATAAGATTCTACATGTGAGCAATTATTAGGGTTGCTTCTTTGAATTCTATGAGTGTCAAGGTGATGTATTATGCATAGCTTTCAAATTTCTGTGTTACGTCTTTGAAATTTACGAGTGTTAGGGGTGAAGTATTATGATTAGCTTTGAAATTGCAACTGGTTGCTTGATATTTTTTTCTTACAGGGCAATCTGAAGAAAGTTTCTGCTACATATATATATATACTAGCGGGGGAGGCCGCACGAGGTGCGGCTGGATTATGAGGAGCCAAGACGTTGTGGAAGATTATATGCTAAAGTGTTTGTTAATCAATCGTATTGTATATTTATGGTATTTGCACGGAAATTATAACTGTAAAAAACGTGAAAAGTGTACAAAATTATATGTTACATATATTGATGATAATGTTTTATGGGAAAATTAAATTACAAAAAAGGGGAAAAATGTATTTTACAATG